TGTTGTGGTTTTAGAGCATTTCTATTTGTGGGATTTAAGACCGGCTTTGATCCGGCAGCTTTAGCATACGTTAACTTGTCATTTTCAGCTTGTTTATTGGTCTCAACTGGACTGTCAATAATTACAATATCTTTGTTATTTTCGGGACTTAAGGCCTGGTCTTGGTTCGAACTAGCGGGATTTTCACTCAACAAGTTGGTATTCTCATTGTTGCTCGTAATCACAATTCCTAGCGATTTCGATGGCTCAGTGCTCGCTAATTGTTTTCTATTTGTAGCCTTACTATCGCTATCTACTTCATTTACATCACAACAAACACTTCATTTGAATGTTCTACATGGAACTTTGTATATTCAGCAGCTAGAAGCGATGTTTCTCGTATAATGCTATCATCGTTTTTACCCATAAGATCCCGAACTTGTGATATACAGCAGTCATGTGTTCAAACTTATCTGACAATGCTTGAATCGCTTTCTTCGCCACTAGACTGCAAGATCTTGTACTGAATGGTTATGGTTATTTAATTTATTTATCCTTTTCACGAAGTTCATCAAGAAAAACGGTTACGGTAGGATTCGAACCATCGATTTAACACTTGGGAGACCATCGTCTTCGCCATTAGAGCACAAGGTCTTGTGCTGGATGGTCTTGGTTATTTTGTTTACTTTATCCTTTTCACGAAGTTCATTATGAAAAACGGTTATGGTAGGATTCGAACAATCAATTTACCACTTGGGAGACCATCGTCCTCGCCACTAGACTGCAAGTTCTTGTGCTGAACAGTTATACTTACTTAATTTACTTTATTCTTTTCACGAAGTTCATAATGAAAACGGTTATGGTAGGATTCGAACCATCGATTTTAACACTTGAGAGACCATCGTCTTCGTCACTAGAGCACATGGTCTTGTGCTGGATGACCATGGTTATTTAGTTTACTTTATCCTTTCACGAAGTTTATAATAAAAAATAGTTTTGGCAAGATTCGAAACATCGATTTACCACTTAAGAGACAGTTGTCTTAGCTATTAGACTGCAAGGTCTTGTGCTGAGCGGCGATGGTTATTTAATTTACTTTATTCTTTTCACGAAGTTCATAAAAAAAAAGGTCATGGCAGGATTCGCACCATCGATTTACTACTTAGAAGACGATTGTCTTCGCCATTAGACTACAAGATCTTGCGCTGAACGGTTATGGTTATCTTAATTTATTTATCTTTTTTACAAAGTTCATAATGAAAAACTGTTACGGTAGGATTCGAACCATCGATTTAACACTTGGGTCCTCGCCACTAGACTGCAAGATCTTGTGCTGAACGGTTATGGTTATTTAATTTATTTATCCTTTTCACGAAGTTCATAATGAAAAACGGTTATGGTAGGATTCGAACCATCGATTTAACACTTGGGAGACCATCGTCTTTGCCACTAGAGCACCAGGTCTTGTGCTGGATGGTCTTGGTTATTTAGTTTACTTTATCCTTTCACGAAGTTCATAATGAAAAAGGGCATAGCAGGTTTTGAACCATCGATTTACCACTTGGGAGACAGTTGTCTTAGCTACTGGCCTACAAGATCTTGTGGGGAATGGCCATGGTTATACTTAGTTTACTGCATTTCTTTTCACGAAATTTATAATGAAAAACGGCTATGGTAGGATTCGAACCATCGATTTACCACTTTGGGACCATTGTCTTCGCCAATTGAGTACAAGTTATTGTGCTGAACGGCCATGTTCATTTAATTTACTTTATCTATTTCACGAATTTATAATGAAACACGGTTATGGTAAGATTCGAACAATTGATTTGCCAATGGGGAGATCATTTAAGTTTGAAAACCTTCAATCCAGCTGTTTTTGAAGCATTCTAATAAAATTTTGTGTGTTCCTTCACAGGCAGCTAGTGATCTACAATAAAAATAACCAATGATTCAATATTTTGTCCACCACAACCAAGGTGTGTACATAGTTTTTACTAGCAAACAACTCTAACATGCCTTTCCCTGAACAAGTAAAGTTGTCGGGTTTAAATAGAAATAAACACACTTACAATGATTTCACAACTTCTTCTTCTCGTTCCCGTTTGCTTCTATCCGAATCGTTAAACAAGTTTTTAAAGAAAATATCTAAAGCTGGTAACGAGATGTTATCATTGAATCACCACCTTTTCGTGTATGGAAATGAATATTGTGTTTCCATACTGCTTAATTCACGATCAATATGGCGGTTGGTCGGTAGCTCTATATATTTTTTTAAGATACTTATTTTATCTAACGAGTTTTGTACATCTCGACCAATTAATATGGCATTTAAGAATGCTAATTTCATGGATTTGGACGGAATGGCTGCGGATGGCATAACCTTGAGTATTTGTAGAGATATTGCTTTTCGATGTCGGGTCAACATACAACGAGTTGGTTTTGAATCTAAATACAAAGTCTCATTTGCGATTGCTAAAGAAACGAAACATTGATTTGTTAGTCTAGTCCTATTTGCGAAGCCTTTTAAGAAGGATCTATCAATGTGTGTGGATGTTTAGTCTAATCCTGGTCCTCAATCTTTTGATAATAATCAGTCGGATAAGATGTCTCAACATCGAAAGCAGTCACGTTTGATGAACACGTTTCGACCCGCTAAAATCCTGAGGAGCTTAGTTCCATGCTTGGGCAGTTGAATCTACAGAAAGGTTGGTTGTTCCATATGACCTATAGGAATATTTTCTATAATACCTACTTGGCAAACACCTCCGCGACACTATACAATCACTATCATCATGCAAATCATCAGCCTGTAAACATATATGGCAGAAATGATATTAATTAAGAGAAACAATCTCATCAATATTCCTTTACATTCAAAATTGCCAACACTCCTGATACAGCTGTTACTCAGCTTTGTTCTTTTGGTCTTCTCAACTGCCGGTTTATTCGAAACAAAGCCAATTTAGTCAAAGACTATGTGGTTGAGAATGAATTTGATATATTTGCGATTACAAAAACCTGGCTTTACCCTGACAAATTTGATCTTATATCTATTGGAAATTTCACCCCGAAGGGCTACTCTTTAAACATATCTCGAGACAACAAGGTAGATGGGGAGGCATTGGTATATTATACAATAACACTTTAAAAGTCAAGCTCTGGACTCGGCGAACATGTTCACACACATTAAGTCTTTCGAACTGATGGGTATGCAAATCAATGTGTTACCTCAAATACTAAATATAATCGTATTATATTGACCTCCATGTAGACGATAAGTCGGATATAACAACAACAAAAATTCTCAATCTTGTTGATTCTTTTAATCTCGAACAACATGTACAACAACCAACACACATTGCTGGTCACACGTTAGACCTTATCTTGTCTTGCCATGAGGGAAATATTGTTCAATCTATTGACGTTCATGATCCATCTATATCTGACCATTACACGGTTACATGTGAACTCAATTTTAAAAAAACATTGTTTCAGAGAAGGGTCGTGGAGTCGCGTAAAATTAAACAAATCAATATGGACTCATTCTTTAATGACATTAGGCTATCTCCGATTATCACTGGGAACACGGCTGATATTAGTGCAAAAGTCAACCAATACAACTCAGAGCTGTCCAGAACTCTGGATCATCATGCACCACTTATCACCAGAGAGATAATTAGTCATCCAGCTGCACCTTGGTACACTGAACAAATTAAAAACGAAAAACGTATCAGAAGGAAACTCGAGCGGGTATGGCGTAAGTCAAAACAATCCTGTGATCGTCTAAAAGACAGACAGCCATGTCGCCGTGTCAGTGAGCTATTATCGGAAAGTCGTACTCGTTACTATTCTGAAATTGTTAGAGATAATGGGAGTGACCAAAGGCAATTATTTAAAACCATTGGAAAGTTTCTACATCATACCCCTGATTCTTAATATCCTGTGTGCCAATCTGATCAGAATCTAGCTAACAATTTTATGACTTTCTTTGAGGACAAAATTTTGTAATAATGTAATATTTTGGTATTTTGATTTTTGTTTAAGTTCGTGATGTATTTTTATGTAGCCTCAGTCTTATGCTAATGGGAATTTTTTTTAGATGTGAAGAGAGGACGGCCATCCGAATTAAAGTACTAAATGTGCTTTGTAACATATTAGGAACGTTATCTCTACTATATGAGGTATAAAATATTGGTACTTTGAATAAATTTTAGTCCATTTTTCTAGACATTAGTACGGTGGCCCAGAGGTGCAAAACACAAACGCAAATTCAAAACACAAACGAAATTCAAAAAACATAAACGCAAATCATGAAAGCACGAACGCAAATTCAAAACAGAAACGCAAATTCAAAACACGAACGCAAATTCAAAAAACGAACGCAAATTCAAAACACGAACGCAAACTCAAAACACTAACGCAAAACCAACAACTTGAACGCGGAGAAAAAGGAAGTACAGACTGGTACAGACATACCCTGTCAGTAAAAGGAAGCCTATTTTCGCTGAGTGCAAGTATTAGCGCCATGACAAACACGTGGTTCTTCCAATCTGGCTTGTATCAAATTTGCAAATAAGGTAAGCTTTGATTTTAAAAAACCTTTAAAAGTTATTTTTATGGGCATTTCCTTCCATTTTTATACTTTTTGGAAATATATTTGCGCAGCGTACCGTAGTGTTCACAACTTAGAATTGGCACAAATCACAACATTCATTTTTATGCAAATGTATATGTATATTAGTTGTATAATAAATTCACATTGGATGATAGGTGGTACACATTCCCCATCATGTACTGTACTAGAATTAGGTTTTGCGCATATAAGCAAGTTTTTTTTGTTTTAGTTTGGGAATGATCTCTTTTAAATATAAACATTTTTATCTGCTTTGTGTACTTCCCAATTGATTTGACCAAAACTGTATTAATTAATATTACATTGTATTAATATGATGAGGCGTCAATAAAGTTATAAAAATTTAATTTTTTAACTGCATATATATATATATATATAGATGTTTTGTCCATCGTGCGGAAACCTATGTGTTAACAGCAATGAAAATTTTTGCAATTCCTGTGGCTCAGCATTAAAAGACGGAAATCTTACAAAGCCCAAGGAAATGTCAAATAATGCAAGTGGTGGCTTAAAAACTTTAACTTTTGAAGAATTTCTGAAGAGAGGATCAAGCAGAGAAACTAAAGACCAAGAACAACGTCAACAAACCTTTAACGAAATGAAAAAAAGAAAATCAGATGAAAGAACGAAATCATTAAAAAAAAAGAAGGAAGAAATTGTAAAGGTTTGTTTATTATTTCACACTTATACTAGAGATTGACACATGACGGGTTCCCCCTTATCATCATATATTTTCTAAAGTTATAAGACATTGATAAATTTGGCAGTACAACTTAGCAGTAATAGTAAACTTAATATTATTTTGGTAGATAGCATTTGGTTTAGCATTTATACAGTTGTCATATCAGTTTACATGATGCAATCTATGATTATTATGAAATTGTAATTATATAGATAAATAGTGGGTTGGTAGAATGTGGAGTAGCAAGGCAGCTAAAAGTCAAAAAAGGTTCTCTTCTACCTCTCGATTTTAAAAAAAGAAAATGATTCCAGTTGTAAAGTGAAGAGTTTAGGGATGGACAAGCAGTTGGCTCATAATAAACACCTGAGGGATTCTGGTGACTTTGATTGTGTTCTGATGTACCCAGACTTTGGTCTGGTTAACACTATTCCAGGAACTTCACAGCCATTTACAGTTGAGAGATATAAGGAAGCAATTGGAAGGCCTTATAATCGAGTCAACTTGTACTTGTGCAAGGTCTCTGACTTAATTTGAAAGTAAGGATTATTTACCTATAACAAACTGATTTGCATGTAATTAAAGCATATACAGTACAGTTCTCCAATCATGTATGTTAACATCAGTTTTAATTTTTTCAACTTTTAATTCTTGTCACCCTCAATTATGATCTTTTATGACAAAATCCATACAGAAATGATGAAATCAGGTCAAGTTATATTTTTGGCCCTGAAAATCAGTCCCATGTTGTTGGATATAAAAAGTACCCCAAAAACCAGGACTTCATGATGTTGTGTGACATAGGACTTAGGATGGCCCCACACTACAATGCTATAGGGCCTATAAGAAACACCTAATGACAATAATGACATAAATGTTGCTATAATGCTATATTTATATGTTTGTAGTTGCCAATGATATTGAGAATACTGAAGATGAATCTCTGGGTAATTATGAATTTAGTGTGGTAAAAACAGTACTGTTATCAACTGACAACCAATAAAATAGAACCAACTGATTAAAAATTTTCATTTCAAATTTCTTACTCCTGTATATTTAGGACCACACAGCTCCCCAACAATTAACTCTCAGGACTGGAATAGCAACCAAACTATGTTAACTCCTAACAAGCAGGCAATTTTTTGCTATGATTACCAAACAAGTACCTCTGAAACCCAAGCGAGTATCTCCGCCACCAAAGCAAGTATCTCTGATGCCCAAGAAAGTACCTCTGGTAACCAAGCAACTACCTCTATCAACCAGGCAACTGAAACAAATATCACTGAAAATTTTTTATTTCTAGAAGATATATTTGAAGGTTGGAAATATCATGCATGGAAGGCCCTCTAATTCCTATCGAGTATTGTATTGCATATCACATATAGAATAGTCATTTTTAATTTTTCTGGATATATTAGTTGAAACGGAAAACGTCAACAACACTGCATGAGGTCATATCCCTGACATCGTTGGAAGAAATGGAAAATGAGGTCTTGGTTATCCATAGAACTCAAGTAAAGAATGATTTCCTTTACTATTTTGCTAATAGTAACATTTTAAACAAGTTCATAAGTGTACAAATAATCGATCCCAGAGGTATTGTAGAGAAAGGTGTAGGTAGCGGGGCTGTACGAGATGCGATTTCCATATTTTGGAAAGATATCTGCAATAGCTATATGCTCGGTGAAGCTGAAAGGGTACCAATAATTCGTCATGATGTGTCTAAGTGCATGTGGCAGGCTCTCGCCAGAGTCCTACTCAAAGGTTATGTGCAAGAACACTATTTGCCTATTCAAATATCCCAGTCTTTTTAAGCTGCTGTCTTTTCGGGAAGGAATCTGTCACTTCTGAGATGTACTTTAACTCTTTTATGAAGTATATCTCTAGAACCAAAGCCATCTTAGTAGAAAAAGTTCTTTCTTCCTCTGTAAGTGTTGATACTGAAGAGGTTTCAGATCTTTTAACGGCTTTTAAGTGCAAGAAGATTGCTACGCCTGAAAACTTTAAGGATCTGATTATTGAAATAGCACATAAAGAATTGGTGCAGAAACCAAGATATGCATGTGACTGTTGGTCAGAAATCTTAGTACCTTTGAAATCTTTTATCACTTCTAACGACGCCTTGTTTCAGATATACACCTCTTTTTTTCCTACTGCGAGCAGAGTATGTAAGCTCATTAAAGCTGAACCAAAATCCCCTGCTGAGAATGAATCATTAAGTCATTTAAAGCGTTGGATCAAAGGTCTTAATACGAATTATCTTAAACACTTCTTGAGAATATCCACCGGATCCGATATTATTTTAGTTGAGGAGATTTCTATCGCATTTACCTCTTTGGTTGGTTAAAGTCGTTCGCCAGTGTTTCATACTTGTGGAGCAGTGATAGAGCTCCCATCAACTTACAACGATTTTGGCGATTTTAGAGAGGAATGGTGCAGTCTTATGTCTCACTCAGACATTGATATGGCATTAGTCTAAGGCCTGTGTTAGACGTCGCATTTTAGTCGCGTCGAATCCAATTCAAACAATAGATAATAGATGATAAAACTCATTAAACTTCATTATCATCTCATTATCTATTGTTTGAATTGCATTCGACGCGACTAAAATGCGACTTCTAACACAGGCCTAACTGACGTGAATGGGTGATTAAGGTGTTTGTTATCCCACGTTTTGTATAAGGCAGAAGTTGTTTAATATTACATGTTTCTTTTATGTTTTTTGAAGTAATTACTTGAGTTTCTGTATCTTTAGAAGTCTCATAAGAATTATTTGTTCATATTGCTTATAACATGCATATTAGTTACTAAAACTTTTAGTACACACTATATATGTAAAGTTTATATATACTGTTGTAAAGTTCATATTATCAGTTTTAACAAAGAACACTTAAATAGGTGGCAATTGAAGCAATTAACGTTAAATTTAATTTGAAACCTCGTAAACTTTTGGCGGTGAAATTCGTGGCTTCTATACATTCGGCTGATAAATTTTTGCTTATGACATGGAATTGCAAGCAATTTCCTCCATTTGTAAAAAGGTGTTTCCTATATAATTCTATGGCTTATATTAGGCAACTTAAGCAACGATAACGTTGACGTCCTGGACGTTAACTGTACTTTCGTACTCCCATTTACCAGTAAGGATAAAGGTCAGCTTAAGAGCTGCTTTCCAGTTACGCGTTTTTTATATGTCTATGTTTTATATGCCTAAGTTTTTGAAGTGGTTTTTCTTTCGTGTTCTCGTTGCTTAAGGTCCCTACTTGTTTTATACTACGTTGGAATATGAATTCACTTAGTTTGTTAGATTTTTTCGTTGTTTTTTCTTGGTTCACACTTGGGCTGCTGCAATAGCAGTTCATAATGAGAGAATCGTTCCATGTTGTTGGCTCCTGCAGTTGTAATATTGAAAAATTATAATTAAAATATTACTTTGTGTATTTCGTCATCTTCAACGGCAACGTTGCCTTCGATCGCTTGGATATCATGTTGCAGGCACTCCACCTTATGATCAACCGCGTCAACTGACTCGGGCAAGAAAAAAAGTTGATCAGAAATGCCATGAGTAGTGTGGTATCTGGATTTTCTAACATAATAGGCATTCCAGGACTTTAATAGCCTTTAGGGAATCCCTCATCACTTTAATGAAACAAAACCAAAGACATTCCAGCTGAAGTATATTGCTTGTGTCAACAATACCTCTGTCTACCAAATCTTTAAAAAAATTAATCCACCACGATGCCCACGACCGACGTAGCATGGCCCACCACGCCTCTATACGCTGGTTGCTGTGTGACGATCCATAGCGATGTGCTTTTATCCCATTATAGTGATCTCTGTGGTTTCGACGTAAGTTGCACTGAGCAGTGCCCATTATACTATTTTCAGTCCCTTTGTCCGTTCGTAGAATTGTTGGGCAACCGTTTTGGGATTTAACACAATCAAGAAATAATCCTCCAATGACCCGAGGGTCGTTATTTGTTCGAACGATCTCTAACCACATAATTCGCCTGCTAAACCCATCAATGCAGCCGTGAATGGGAAACCCAAACTGTTTGAGTTTATCGTACCCATCGGCATGCCAGGTAAAGTTTGGACCAGGATTTAAATACTCCCTCCGCTGCAGCTTATGAGCTTTTCTTACTGCACAACCTTCAGGATTAAGCACCTTTAAGATACTTTGAGCTGTTGAACGGCGCACACGCATGCCATATTTTGATTGCAGTTTCCTCCACATTGATCTGTATCCTAAGAGGTTGCCATTTTCATGTAGTTCTCTTTGAACGCATTCTCTAACTTGTTCTTCATTCGCGTTGTATCTTCTTCTTCCCAAACCATACTCCTGTAATCTGGTGATGAGCGCTCTTTTACATATTTTGATATCATGATATTTTTCTAAACATTCCAGTATCGTTTTGTACTTAAAATTTCTTCCGTAGTAAAAACGATCGCTTCCCATATCAATAATTTTATATTTTA